AGGGAAAGGTTTAGATATGACCTCCAATTGCTTCTCAGCCTTTTGTCCTTTTGGGACAGCCTAGGGAATAGAGGCTCAGAGAAGTTAAACAAACTTCCTGGGAGAACACAGTGGCAGGTCATGAAGGAACATATCGCCTTGTTCATCAATATATATCTGATTCTGACACAGTGCCTGAACACCTGGTAGGTACTCAAGAAATATTGGTTGGGCAGATGATTAGTCAGTTGACTAAGCCCCAAAACTATTCACTGTCAGACCAGCTTACTTTAATTAATTAGTTAATTAATTAATTAATTTTGGGCAATACATTGTCAGCTTCCATAGTTTCTTACAGATAAACACCTAAGTTTTTTATTATACCATTAAAAAATTAAGATATAATCTATATACCATAATCTTCACCCTTTTCTTCCTGTTTGTCTTTATTTATTAAATTTTCCTATAGAGCACATGCACTCACCAGAGAAAGAGAGAGACAGTGAGAAAACACCTCCGGGGGGATGACCATACCACGATTACTTCTCCTCTTGGGATTTTGGGCATCCACATACACACATACCTGGGGTGATTTTCAAGCCGTGACTGGGACTTGAACTAGTCGCCCCATGGGATCCAGCTGCTTTAACCTCCATGTCAGCTGCTGGGCCAGTCTTTACCTTTTTAAAGTATATGACTCGCAGTTTGTTGTATGTTGACAAAGTTATGTGAACCTCACCACCATCTAGTTCCAGGACAGTTTCATCACATCAAAAGGGTTTAGCAGTCACTCCTGTTCCTCTATTCCCCACCCCTGGCAAACACTAGTAACTTACTGCCTTGAGACCAGCAGATGGCATAATGGTTACGTCACTGGACTCCCACCCAGGTGACCCCAGTTCAAGTCCCAGAACTGGCAGCTTAAACCTCACACCAGGCATGTGTGTGTGTGTGTGTGTGTGTGTGTGTGTGTGTGTGTGCAAGAGAGGAGAATGGAGGAGAAGGGATTGCAGCATGGCTATTCCCTGGGGGGAGGAGGGGTGATTTCTCATTTTCTGTCTCTGTCTCTCTGGCGAGCGCACATGCCCTATAATAAAAATCTGTCTAAAAATATTTAAAATAACTTGCTGTCTCCATAGATTTGCCAAATCTGGACATTTCATATAAAGAAGACCATATAGTGTGACCTTTGTGTTTGGCATACATTAGCCTACTTGGGGCATGTCACTGGAATGGACTCATAGGATTTGTGCTTTTGATGTCCCGTATCTTTCATTTAGCAGGATGTTTTCAAGGTGTAGTCACTACGTAGCCTGTAACAGTACTTCATTTCTTTTTAGACAACGAAATTCCATTATAGCAAAACCAAATTCACCTGAGAACTTTCCTCACTCTCAGTACATATTTTGAATGTGTATTGACAGGCTAGATTTCCCATCATAGATTTTCAGCCTTTGAAAAACTTCAAGGAGATCTAATCCACGTCCAAAAATAAAAAGCCAGCGTGGTCTCAGCTTCTTCCCACAGATTCTGGCCACTTCTCTCCCCTGGAGGAGCAAATAGCAATGGAAGCCAGTTGCCAATGGTTTACAAACCACAGTCAAACAGAATGGGGTCCCTGGCATTGTGTGGACAGAGACAAAGCAGCCATGGGCAGCAGCTGCTGGCCAGACTCCAGGGGGCTTCCTTCCCCGCCCTGCCTGTCCCCTCCAGGATTGTGGGGAGGCCTGTCTGGCTCCCTAGAACAATGGCATAAAGAGGCCTCCTCGAAGTTGCAGGAACCAGTTTGACCGAGATTGCTGTTGTAATGAATCAAGCTCCTGAAACCACTTCCACCTCCTCCCTGCACAAATATCCCTCAGCCCAAAGATGTGATTTTCTCCAGGACAGCCCAAGCTGGGACTTGTTACTGGGAAGCTGTAAGCCATGCACTGGGTTTAGGGCGTGGTGGGGGAGGGGAGAAGCTCGGGAAGCCTCTTAGGTCTGTAAGGGAGGAGCTTGCCTCCCAGGCTGGGGAAGGGAAAGGGAAAGGCTTTTCTGGGACACTCCCTGACTGCGTGGTTAGTCAGTGATTTACCTGCAGGCACGGAGGTGTTCCTGGGGGTCTGGCTGCAGGACGGGGAGTTTCATTCCTGCACACGGTTCCTTGGATACCTTTGCTCTTGCTAACAAGTTAGACAGCCTATTTCCCCAACCAAACTCCTACCACCCGCCCGAGGAAGTCATTCATCCAGAAAATAATACAGTTCTCTGTAAAGAGCTAACAGTGATAAGGAGCTGTGCTGGGAGCTTTATGAAGATGATCTCATTTAGTCCCTAAAGCAGTCTGTCATCTGTGCATGATTATTATTATTCCAGTGTCAGATGAGAAGAATGAGACTTTTGGGTGAAATCATTTGCCCAAATCACTCACTGCATTAAGATAAGATTAATAATCTAGCAGGCTCTCGCTCTACAGATGCATCATGGTATGATGAAGGTGATAAAGATGGTCACTTATTGTGTGCTTGTATGACATAACCTCATGAGAGAGATACGGCCTTTATTCCCATTTGACGACTGAGAACGCTGAGGCTGAGAGGTTAACCGGCTGGGAAGGCCCATAGCTGTAACCACAAGGCCAGGCTACAGACTTCCATGTCACTCGGGGTTACTGCCCCGATGACATCCAAGGATCGTTCAGTCCACCTTCCTCGTTCTCTGCTGTCCACCACCACCTCTACATCCAACATTTGAAGGACAAGAAAATGGAGACCCAGAGAAGTTCAGTGGTGTGCTCAGGATTATAGGGTTACAGGAACAGCAGAAAAGCAAGTTCTGATTTCCCTAGGGCTCCTGTGGACACCATCCACCCGCTCACACCGCCTCCTAACAATGCCCCAGACAGCTGCCAGCTCTGAGCATGTGCAATGCTGCTGCAACAGAATTGAGAAGGGGGCTCGGGCAGGGAGGGGGCAGCAGCAGGAAGAGCAGGGGAAGGCTCCAGGGAAATGTGAAGGAGCAGAGTCACTTGCAAGGTGAGACCCCAGGGAGTGAGGACAAGTCTGACTTTGTCCTGGAAGCACCCACATTTGGAATCTAGGATTATACAGCAGCAGCAACCCAGTGACCTGGCCTCCTGCAGACTTATTTAGCAATTCCAGCATTCACAGCAAGAGCTTGTGCTCACACTGCAGGAAGCTGAGGGCAGGCAGCCCTCCCTGGGGGCTGTGTCTGCTCTCCTAGCCCTGGACACAAGACTAGTCTCTCGAGCTGTGAACTCCCATTCCTTGCCCGCAGGCAGGCCTGCCTGGGAAGGACAGTTCTCCTGCGCCTTCCCTGGTGCTGAGGCCCTCCTTCCTCCAGCTACCGTGCTGAGAGTGCAGACCAGAGCTGCTTGTTTGACAGGTTTGAAAATGAATGACTCTCTTCCCTGCCACCCCCAGATGTGTCTGCCTCAGTCTGACATCTTCTTTATAGCACTTGATGAAAGGTTTGCCAAGCAGCATTTCTACATGAGTGCGTGCAGGATGGATATCCTCCAAGGGCACTGGGAATATTAGCACTAACAAGCTGGAGACACAAGGACAGGCCGCTGTCGGTGCGTGTGGAACAGAACGTGTGAAATGAACATCTCCACGTCCAGTTGCACCTGAGCGTTGACTGCCTCGGGTTCTTGTAAAAAATAATAATGATGATGTTTATTTATTTATTCTTCTATAAGAGACAGGGAGAGAGACAAATAGCACCCCTAGCAGGGTCTCCACAGCACAATCCACCCCCAGCCTCGGTCAGCCCAGATCACAAGCTTACATGTGCCCAGTGGGTACTGGGAGGCCCCGGCATGTGAAGGCAGAACCTCCCCGTGTGAGCGCAGTATCACTGAGCCTCACGTCACTGTGACGCCACTGACTGGCTCTGTCAGAGGTTTGTGAGACCCATTGTCTCAAATAGGAACACTAACTGTTTCTTTGTGAGCTTTTAAATTTAAATCTGGTTTCTCAAACGTAACATTTGGTTCTTGCTACGTGCTAAGCATTGTTCCAAGCATTTAACACGTTAACCACATTGAGTC